GGACCAATTTCTTTTCTCCTGAGCCGCCAAAGTCTTCATATCTGAAACACAAAAAGATGAAAGAGAGCACACTCACTGCTTGAATTAAGCATGTTAACAATGACAGTGCTGTGAAATGTATCTGCTTTTCTCAGCTCTTAACATTTGTCACTTTACAAAAAATAAAACACTTGGCTAATGGTTAATTAATGTTTTTGTTAAATTATTTCAAATTGACCAAATACTCACAGTTTTTTGTATCTGCTCCAGTCAGCCTGGCTGAGGGAGGGCCTGGTTACAGCTATGGCGGAGTTTATATGAGCCCAGGAAAGCTGCAGGCCGGGTTGGCTGGAGGCAGCATGTGACCAGACAAAGTCTTCCTACACAGAAAGAAGCCAAACACATAGATAAAAGCTCACATGTGCAGTTAAACAGTCTGATTCTTTAGATGTTTTTCTATTAATTGCCATCCATTACATTTGCTCTCTTGTAGCTCTTTTTGATATTACTGATGTCTTCTTGGAGGCGCTCCAGCTTCTCTGGGGCAAGTTCTTCGTATCCTATCTGGATAGAGGACATGTAAGCAGGAGGAAGAGTGGTAACCGGCTCATGGTCTGATGCTCCCAGATATCTGTGTGTCTTGGAGTTGGGTCCTGAGATGCATGGCAAGTTCTGCTGAAAAAAAAAAAAAAATTACTGCTAATAATCAAACTGACATTATTCAACGTGATTCAATTTCAGCAGCTGACTGTTGGATATTTTCAGACTAAAATTGAATAAATAAGAATTAAAAGAACACCTAAAATCTCAGATATCAACATATGTACATACATACACTCATACATACTTATTTGTGTATATGTGTGTACATGTATATAGTAGTCATCCCTCAAATATCAACTTTATAACTTATACAAATTTGGGAAATGGACAATGTCTTATATGTAGAGTAAGTATGGCAAATTTTCTCTTTACCAACAAATTGCATACGAAGAAATGCAGACAACAATTCTCACAGAATCACTTTGTGATCATTAAGACATGTGCCGTGTTCAACTCATTGCAAACCAAAAGTTAAAATATGTGTTTTCATGGAGACTTTCCTTGAAATATTTAAAAACCTAAATGGATGAAAAAATATTTTTGGCAAGAAAATTTTGTTATAATGCAGATAGTCCTCACCGGTCTTGAAATTGGTGAGTTTCCTGACTCCGACTCATAAGAACTTCCGAAGTACAGCCTCCAGATGTTGCCGTGGGACTCCTCGTCCTCCACGTGAAGCTCACTGGGCTCCAGAAGAACCATGGACTGGTTCAGGCCCGTGCGCTGGTCTCCCTCTGCCGCTGAGTCCTCTGAACCGCTGCTGTTGTTCGGGAAAATCATGGAGGACAGGCTCATGTTGCTGTCTGAGCCCGAGTTCAGCTCCTGAACGACACACACAAACAGGGGTCAAAGGTCACTGCAACAAGCAAGAGCAAGTTAAATGTTTTTGCTTTGCCTTTTTCAACTAATGCTAAATTTGCCTTAGCTGGCTTCCTGCCGTTTATACAATTCAATTATCAGCCTGATTGGAGATGATCTGATTTGTGCTGTAAATGATGAAGTAGGTCAAAGACACATACATGCCTGCTTAACTCATTGGCTGCCAATGACGTCTATAGACATCAATTCAAATACAATCGTTGACTGCCAAAGACGTCTATAGACGTCTTTTATGTTTTTCAACGAGAGTGGCTTGGGGGACGATCTGCTAAAGCTTGTCCGTAAATATCGGGCTTCTAGACAGTATGTAGTAACAAATTGACCCTCTAGGGGGCAGTGCCACTTTTGATGGGAGATGAGCATAGATTGTAGGCAAATAAGAAAAACGTAATGGTTCGCTATGAGAGAACATGTCGCCGGTGAGACGCAAGTCAAAAAAGAACGGAATAAGGTAGAAACACTTTTTTTCTCCTGATGAAAGAAGAGAGTCTACTCTTTCTTTTGGTGTGTTCGGTGTTCACATAGTCATAGCACAAACTATTCTGAAAAATCTGTCAAAATGCTCAAAAAACTGGCAGTATGGGACTCTCTGTTCTGAAAATGGCTGGCAGTCAATGAGTTAAGCACAAAGTACACAAATATTTGAGTCTAGGGCGAGCAAATGGTTCCTGACTTTTCAGCTTTTTAAAGCTGAAGCAAACCCCTGAATTGTGCTCATGAGACTTGTGGCAATAGCCTTACGTGCGGTGAGGCCGTTCCCAGCCGGCTGTGGACGGCCTCCAGCAGGGCGCTGTACAGAAGGCCCTTCAGGTCGGCGCCGGTGAACGTCTCCGTCAGCGCCGCCAGCTGCTCCAGGTCCACGTCCGGCGCCAGCGGCATGCCCTCGCTCAGGGCCCTCAGGATCTCCACACGAGCCTCCTGGGAGTGCAAAGCAACGTGGCACTGAAATCATCCCTCTGCAGTTTAAAGCACCTTTACAAATCCGGTTGCTGTATTGTAAACAGACGTGGTCAGGAGGAGGGCAGTAGAGGGACTTGTCCAGGCGTCCAGGTCTCAGCAGGGCTGGGTCAATTAAATCTGGACGGCTGGTGGCTGCAAGCACATAAACACCTACAGAGACAAACAATCAGAGTCAGATTAATCAAATTAAAGGTCATTTTTTAAGATAATAAGAAATACTGTCTACTTTAAGGTTAATCCATTTGGAATTTCTTAGTATTATGCTGGTTTCCACATCAAAATCCTTGTAAGGTAATCTGTAATTTGGGTTTGGGATACTTAGTGGCTAATCAACAATTAGATTTACTTTATATAGATATAAATAAAACCTTCCTGTGGAGCATAGTTTAATGGTTGGTTTTGGATAAACAGGAGCTCTAGCTCCCCCTGCTGGAGCGTAGATATCACTGTTATGACTCCTAAGTGAGTGTGCACGTTCCAAAAGAGCAGCATGAGCAGAAAAGGTTCAGCTGCATCAGCATCATCCCCACAAATGGCCAGGAATGCAGGCGTCTGGAGTAAACTGTATTCACACCCTCCTATAATGTTTCATCCTCACAGAGAAACACAGAGTGGTGCAATCAAAATAACTACTAATAGAAAAAGGTTGTGTCCATACAACTGTCAGGTAAAGAAAAGAGAAGAGCATCTTCCTTATTGACCCAAAAAATCAGGAATATCCTGTTTCAATTTAGTATTTCCTTCAAATACCTTTCAAAACAAACATCTGTGTTCACACTCCACTGTGTTACCAGCCTCCAGCACATCTAACAAACATGGTCCAGTAACAGCGGGTCCTGTAGAGGCCTTAATAAGGGCAGTGTGCAGGTGTTAGACTGTACCCTGGAGTCCCTCCACGCCGTCCAGCTGGGTGAGCAGCTGGTTGACCACGCGGTCGGTGACGCCTGTGCTGTCGTGGCCCCTCCTCGGAGCCAAAGAGTCAAACTCATCGAAGAACAGGATGCACGGTTTGGCAGCTTGGGCCCTGGAACCCGTAGGGGAGGTACAAACCAAATGCTTGTTACTGGAAATACAGATCTGATGTGACTCTAAATAATTTGTGTTCAGATTTAAAATGTTCACTGACCTCTGGAAAACGTCCCGGACTCCCTGCTCGCTCGCTCCAATGTATTTACTGAGAAGTTCAGGTCCCTAAAGAAACCCATCCATGTCACTGGGGATACACTTTGCTCTTAGACAGTGGAGTGCAAACCAAAGCTCAGTTTTACCTTAATGCTGATGAAGTTCATCCCGCTGTCTTTGGCCACCGCCCTGGCCAGCAGTGTCTTCCCCGTTCCGGGCGCTCCGTAGAGCAGAATTCCCGAGCGATGCCGAATGGGAAGTTTGGAGAAGAGGATGGGATACTGTGGAAAAAATGTTCACAGAGCCAACTCGATGATTTGTTTCTTTAAATGCATTTTCTACCTGATAGTCTAAATTAAATTGGCATATTTTAGATCTGGATGCATTAAAGACAGAGGGAGAGAAGCTGATTGGTGATAATGGTCCGGTGGGCTCTAACCTTAGCGGGCAGCAGAATCGTGTCCATCAGCTGCTGCCGCACATCGCTCAGCCCCCCCACCCGCTCCAGTCCAGCCCCCCCTGGTCTGTGAAGGTCTGCCCCCCACAGCGAGGGGGGCGTGAATCCCTTTAGAGCCTGAGCAAAGTCTCTGTTCGACAGACATGCACCTGAAGGACACAGGGCACAAGACAAATACTGTCAGAGCAAACCACCACAGGCTTAAAACAAAAAAAAACTGACAGAAAGATGAACGACGATGAATCCCAGTTTATTTTCTCTCTATATTCTATGTTCCATGTTTTCGTCCAGGGGATTGAAAGCTTTTGTTACCTTGGTCACAGAGTCCCATTTGCACTGTGTGGGCGTGAGTGGCACGCTCTAACAGCAAAGCGAGGTCCTGGGCCATAAATCCCTCCGTCTCCTTGGCAACGGCCATGAGGTCAAGACTGTGTAAGGTGTCCTCGGACAGGAGAGACTTCCTCTGGATCAAATGTCGCAAGATGTCTGCCCTCTGGGCCTGAAAACCACAACACAGAGCGTTTTGTTTTGGGGTTTTTTTTCCTGCTTCTTTGTTACTCTCAGTGTATGTTCTGGGACGCTGACCTGGTCTGGGGGCTGGATGTTGACCGTCCCCTGGATGAAGTGGGACCCGGACACCTCGGTCAGAGCCGGGTGGAGCGAGTCCTCGCTCTGGCTGGTGATGACCAGGCACACCAGGCTGGAGTCCAGCACCACCTCGTCCACCACGTCCTTCACACCTGCACTCACAATCAGACAAACACACATCAGTAACAAACCGTTTTAGTTTCTCCTCACACTTGACGTGAATCGGTCCTTTACTCTGAGCGATGTGCAGGCGCAGCAGCGCCTCGGGGCCGTGCTCCTGCTCCGGGGAGGAAGGGGCCCGGGTCACATGGTCCAGGTCGTCCAGCAGAACCACGGAGGGCTGTTTCCACTCCGCCTGCTCGAAAACATCCCGCAGAATGTGCCGCACGGTTTCTGACTTTTTGCCTGTAGGAGACAACAGACATTTTCCCATGAACAGATTTTTTTTTGTTTTTTCAGGTCCATGAACTGTTGTCTTGTGGAATCTTATGTGACCTTGTAGCATTTTGCAGTCCACTGCCTCCACATGGGCGTCCAAATCCTCTCTGGCTTTCCTGCACAGGGCTCGGGACAAAGTGCTCTTCCCACTCCCCTGTGAGGATAAAGGGAAACACATCATTCTTTAGCAAAACAAAACTTAATAAAATCAAATGTATTTAGTTACTTGACAGCTGTGTTTCATGCTGAGCCAAAGCTAGCAAAACCAGCATGGTTAGCATCAATTTCTTAAAATTCCGAACCCTTTTTTTAGCTAATAAAAACTGTAAAAATAGGAAAAATAAAATATACAATACCTTGGCACCAGTTATGAGCAGTGCTCCTCCTAGGAGTCCTCTTCCAGTGATACCGAGCTCTCTGGAGAGGGGACTACCCAGAATGCTGTGAGAGATAAACTCAAATCCAGTCCTGCTCAGCTCATCAACCCCTCTGGGAAAACATGGAAATGTGGGGGGGGGACAGTGTGAAGTAAATGCTGAAAAAATCTAAATAATGTCAGAAATGTTTAAATAACTCACCCAAGAAGACTGAGGGAGGGAAGCTCTGTTTGGGGCTCTCCGGCCACAGCGTTCCCATCAGGCATTTCTAGCGGTTGTCTGTCCACCTGAAAGAAACCCGAAAGTCACCACGGCAACCAACAGCTTACAAAAGGCTGCAAGAAGAAAGGAAAAAGGAAAAAGGAAGGATTGTCCAGACTTTGGGAACGCAAAGTTTGAGGAATAGTTTCCATTGCTATATTGGAGGTTATATAGTATAAACACATGGCAATACCTGTATGTCTCTCTTCTTGAGGACGGTGGGGGTCAGGAGGAAGAGCTGGTCCACCGGGTCATTCTGCAGCTCCGGTTTCAACACCGTCACAGCAAACTCCAACTTTGCTGCGAGAAGTTTTCAAAAAGTCCACAGAAATTTCACGTCACCTTGGCACTGGTGAGATCTATTTTTTGATAATGGATGATTTCTTCGGCTTATTAACTCATTCGTTGCCAAAGACGTCCATAGACGTCTTTTATGTTTTTCAACGCGAGTGACTTGGGGGACGATCCGCTGAAGATTGTCCGTAAATATCGGGTTACAGACAGAGTATGTACTAACAAATTGACCCTCTAAGTAGCTGTGCCACTTTTGATGGGAGATGAGCATAGACTGTAGGCAAATAAGAAAAACGCAATGGTTCGCTATGCAAAAAATGGCGCCGGTGAGACGCAAGTCGAGGAAGAACGGAATAAGGTAGAAACAATTTTTTTTAATCCTGATGAAAGAAGAGAGTCTACTCTTTCTTTTGGTGTGTTCGGTGTTTACATAGTCATAGCACAAACTATTCTGTGGCTCTTGAAAAATCAGTCAAAATGCTCAAAAAACTCTGGCAGTATGAGACTCTCTGTTCTGAAAATGGCTGGCAGTCAATGAGTTAAGGAAGCGCAGAAATGAATTACCCTCGTTTCCGTGCAGGAGGACGGAGCCGGAGCGCTCGCTCAGGCAGGCCAGCGGCTGATGGCTCTGCGTGTGGAGCCAGCCCAGGAAGGCGGCCTGGATCTCCTCATCACTCTCCTCAGGCTGCACGGAAAATGGACGAGATAAGACAAACCAGCAACATATGCCAACCGTGTGTGTATCCCAGAACTCACCAGAGGTTTCAGAGGCTGTAAGCGAATATTAGAGGCCACTTTGACGGCTGTTTTCACAGGTTTAATCCTCACTGCTGAATGTGGCTGAATATTTAACTTACTGGCCTCGGGGATCTGTAAAAAGATAAAAAATAAAACATACTTAGACATACAGTGGGGGAAATAAGTATTTGACCCCTTGCTGATTTTGCCGGTTTGCCCACTTACAAAGAATACAACAATCTATAACTTTAATCATATGTACATTCTAACAGTGAAAGACAGAATCCCAAAGAAAATTCCAGAAAATCACATCATATGAATTTATAAAAATTGATAACCATCTGATGAGGAAAAATAAGGATTCTTTGTAAGTGGGCAATCCTGCAAAATCAGCAAGGGGGCCAAATACTTATTTCCCCCACTGTACTCTTAACCGATATGAAAAGAAGTAAGGTAAATGTGAGACACATGTTACTCACCCATACTCTTCCCCTGTGGATCTCTTTGTTTCTGTGACACATCCTGCTGTCTGTCAGCATTTCAACGCTATGGCACACTACCCTGACCAACTTCCCTTCCTCATCTTTCCCTTCATTAGCCGGGGAACCATCTTTGCCAACTCCTCCGTTCTTCTTTTTCTCCACGCTCTGCTTTTTTCGGTCTCTCATCTCTTTGGGGGATGGAACTTTAGTGAGAAGGCCGTATGTCACTGGAGACGGACCCCCGACTAGCGAGGTGTTCAGGGCAGGGCTCCATGGAAACATGTGGATCACACCAGAGGGGATGTAGCTTATGCTGCCCGGAGAGTCGGGCGGTGAGTTGCAGACTCTGTAGGTGGAGTCAGGGAAGAGGGATGGGATGTCGGGTACAGGCGGTGGCTCTTTAACCGGGTCATAAGAGCCCGTTATCATATGGCGGAGAAGGCTTTTTAAGTCAGCAATGCCACCCCATTGCTGGCTGTGAGGGAAAGAGGAAGTGGTCTCTGACGATGGCGCTGAGGGGGAGGAGTAATTCACAACTTGATTTAAGTCAGAAGAATCGGGGAGGTTGCCAACTCCAGCGCGGAGCTTCGGAGACACGAGGAGCTCTGTGAACTGCTCCAGGCGGCCATACGGCACAAGTGGGGAGAGCGAAGCTGCTCGGAGATAAAAACAAGCCACAAAGTGTTTCTGAATACTTTAAAATGTTATCAAATTCATTCCTTTATCTTAAGTGTATGTAGGTATGACAACCGCCGTCTGTCAGACTACCTGAACTGAGAAGTATAGTTAAATATGTGTGGCAACACCTACCTACTCTGATGTAGATGACTGTGTGATTGTCCACCCAAACAGGAAGTACAGCTCCTTGGAAAACAACTCTGATCTGATCCAGTAGTTGCTGCTCCAGTTCAGAACTGTGAAGCTCCTGGAAAGGAGGAAAGTAAGGAAAGTAAACTAACTACTGTGGTTTTAGGTAGCAGAGCTTTCTCTTCCGACTGGCTTTATCATCATGAGGGAGCATATTTTAAGACCCTTCCAATCAGAATAAAGTTTTTATCCTCGTTAACACATAAACAACACCATCCCTGAGTGTTTTCAATTGGAAATGTAACTTAACACAAGACAAAAAGAAGACAGGAACAGAAAAGTTTGGGGGGTTATTGTGATATGTAATAACGTAATCTTGCATGAAAATAAATTACATATAAATCTCTTTCAGTCTCAATTATCACCCACCAAGATCTCCCAGTCATCAGAAGAGAGGGGTTCCACCGTCACTTGATTCAATGAAGAAACTTGGTTGCAGGCTCTCAGAAAGCCCTGAAGGAAAACAACACAACCGGTAAGTCACTAATGCTGTTCAACCCAGAGAGACAAATACTGTACAAACATATCTTTAGTTGGCTCCTATGTGCCCTAAAGAGCTAGACATACAGGTAAACAAGTCACAAAGCTAAAGCTCCACCTGCTCTCCTTCTTTTAGGCCAAGCTTCTCTCCGAGTTGCCGACACAACTCCACGTTGTAGTCGTCCAGACTGGAGGAGGTTCTTTTTGGAGTCCAGCTGAGGAACACGGGAGGTCCATCGTCCCAAGACAGCTCCAAGGCTTGGTTCTTCCAAAAGAAAACAATGTCTGCTATTAAAAGTCTGCATTTCTTCATGTTTTGGCTCTGAAGTCACATCTTACTACTCCAATTAGTTTTCTTAAGCATTGCAACAATAAACACTAAACTAAAAGGGGAAAGCTACAAAGAGAGGTTAATGAAAACTCACATTTTAATCACAATATTTTCTTCCTGAATGAATTAATCTTTTCAGCTCTTTGACGTATTTGTTTTAATGCATAGACTGATATGATCCTATAGACAACTTTTCTATTAATTTAATATGACAGACTACTTTGAAATGTAAAGAATAGAAACTCTCAGGAAATAGACCAAATGCAAACCACAAAAAACACAAGAAATGTTTTTGTTTTACGAAAGATACAAAGTAAAACTGAACTAATGCTGCCAACACGAGACTTGCTAAGCTAACTTACCTCGTTCAAGGAAAGGTGAGATATCAGTTTGGAGGGGAGGTGAAGAAAGCAGTTTTTTGTGTTGTTAAAGCCAACACAAACGGGCTGAATGCCCTGAGAGGTAAACATTATTTTCACGTTGCCATACTAGCTCCGTAAATAAGTATATTTCTGCTCCTCCTTTCCGTTAAGGTGCAACGAACCCAGTGAATCGATGTGTTGTGACAATCGCAGTTCAGACCAAACTAGCTGATATTAGAAAGAGTTCATTTTTCAAACTAAAACGTTGACCGTAGGCATTCAATCAATTCAGCGTCGCCAAACAGTCGAATGGCCCTTATTGTGAAAAACACGCACCGGAAAGCCCCTTCAACAAACATGGCGGCACCTGTCGATAGTGGCTCGAGCTGTTGGGACGCCCCAGAAGTCTATAAACATCACGAACAGAAGAAAATATGCATTTCTCGACCTAAATATAGAGAAGGGAGAAGGGCTAAAGCGGTTAAGGTGAGAAAACTGAATTATCAGCATGAAAAATGGGTCTTAGAAGCTAACTGCAATGGGAGAAAACGGTGTAGAAACCACAGTAAACAGCCTCTACGATGCGGTTTGACTGGTGTTCAGCACTGATACTATTCAATAACTAATACCACGTTTGTCTCGTGTAAATTCAGGTGTACACCATCAATTTGGAGTCCCGTTACCTGATGGTCCAGGGCGTCCCGGCCATCGGCGTCATGGAGGAGCTGGTCCAGCGGTGCGCGCTGTACGGGGCCGTGGAGGAGTACCGGCCTCTGGACGAGTACCCCGCCGAGGAGTTCACCGAGGTCTACCTGGTCAAGTTTCAGAAACTAACCAGTGCCAGGTGCGGCGCGCGACCCGTTTCGGTGGGTGCGCGCGTGGGGTTGGAGGCGCCCGTTGAATCGTCCTGACCCAAAAACATGTTTGCTTCCAGAGCAGCGAAGCGGAACCTGGATGAGAAGAGCTTCTACGGGGGGGTCCTGCACGTGTGCTATGTCCCGGAGTACGAGACGGTGGAGGACACGCGACTAAAGCTGCAGGACCGGAGGAGCTACGTGGCCAGAGTAGCCCGGAACAGAGGTAGCATCAAGATTAAAAAATACATGCATGTCTTTTAAAACACTCGCAGGAAAACGTTTTTTTTAATGAAAAAGTCTGTCAGTACTGACATCAAGCACTGTTTGAATGATCAATAAGCTTCACAGTTTGGTCAGTCACCAAAAGGTTAGACTATTATACATTTGAACATTCTTCTTTCTGTTCTTTGTACATTTGTGACATAGGTTGCTTTTATTTTGAGCTTCATTTCCTCTATACAGTGGGGGAAATAAGTATTTGACCCCTTGCTGATTTTGCAGGTTTGCCCACTTACAAAGAATGCAACGATGTATAACTTTAATCATATGTACATTCTAACAGTGAAAGACAGAATCCCAAAGAAAATTCCCCAAAAATCACATCATATGAATTTATAAAAATTGATAACCATCTGAGGAAAAATAAGCATTCTTTGTAAGTGGGCAAACCTGCAAAATCAGCAAGGGGTCAAATACTTATTTACCCCACTGTACATATCAAAATTAGGTTGAAATTGTATGCGGTTTTAAGTTTGCTATGGTCTTGTAAGCTGTGAAAACATGGAAAGTTAATGTTGACCTTTTATTTTTCTGTTAAATTGTTAAATAGCCAGGAAAAGTAGAGACAAAGAAAGGATTTGTGAGAGGCCCACACCGTCGGAGACGGTCACACCGGACCGGACCCGCACCGGACAGCCTCAAAGCTCCTACAGGGACGGTACAGGTGGGACTTCAGGTGTTCCCCACCACTCAAGCTTCCCTCTGCTGCCACCGCCTCCACGAGAACATGGTCTCTACGGGCCTCAGTACCAGCCAACGGAAGACAAAATGGGAACTTTACATAACGCCACGCCTCACACACATCAACAGCAGCTGGAGAGTTTAAGCTCTGACCAAACGGCCAGCAGAGGTCAAAGCACAGACAGCCAACTGGCGTCCAGTCAGACTTCTGTGGTCCGATTTGTACCGAGAACCGCACACTTGCAGAACAGGAAACGGAAAGTGGACGAGGTTCCACAAGATTCGTCGACTATTTCTGAAGAAACTGGACCCTTAATCGGACCAAAACTGCCAGAGTCGCCTAAGCTGAACATGGAGGACGAATCACTGAACACAACTGTAAACCTCATCCGGAACACAATGAAGCAGGTAATCTGCTCTTCTTTTATTTAATAATAATAATTCAGTTCGGTTCAACTGTGGTTTGATTTTTTTTGTGCCTGTAACGTTCGTTTTGTCGTCTCTTCCAGGTGGAATCGGCCTCAGACCACAAACCTGTAGAGAAAAAGATTAAACCCCGCCGGCGGATATAATCCAAGTCTCCTGTCAAGACATCACCTACTACAACAGATAATGACTTTCAAAGAACTGTGTTTTTTGCAGTATGTTTATATTTTTGTAGCCTTTGCATCATATTATAAACAAATCTAACCGTTTTTATCAAAATGTCCGAGTCAAGGAATTCTGTGGTTTCTTCATTGTTCCACTTTTTCCTCAAACACCCGCTTCTCAAACATATCAATGCTCTGAAAAGAAAGAAAAACATGCTGGTTTTAGTCGTATTTAGAAGTATTTCTGTCATGGACACATAGAGGTTCATCTGTGAGTACCGTGGAGTCTGGGAGGCACGTCCCAAAGGCTTCAAGCAATAAATTCTCCTCCTTTACAGCCGTTTCAAAGTCTTCAAAAGACATTCTGCCGTCATGATCGCAGTCCTGTGGGGGGGAATTTAAATGATAAACTGGACTTATCTGTGTTCTGGATCGATGTGATGGCACACGTATTTTAATGAGCAGATCTGAATATCTGGGCAGGAGAGCTCTCACCATCTTCTTGAACGTGATGTCGACCAGGTCTTTGACTCCCTCGTCGGGGTCCTCCTCCGTGGGCTGCCGGATGAGGCAGTTCTTCAGCATGTGGAACATCTCCTCTCTGGCGATGTACTTGTCGCCGTTCAGGTCGTACACGTTGAAGCAGTCTGAGTCGGCAGAAAACAGGGACAGGCATTGGCTCCCACAGCAAAGAGAGGGTCGGGGAGAGAGGATTGTTATGGACAGAAAGCAAAGCTGAAAACTTGCACTTTATTTTTTCGTCCAACGTCCCCCGGAGAAAAACGGACAGTCCCTCGATCCACTCCTCCACGGAGATGAAGCCGTCGTTGTCTTTGTCGAACGTCCTGAAGACTGAGGGCGAGATCAAGAAAAACCCTAAAACGCATCCTGTTCCATTCGTTATTCGTCCACATGTTATATGACATTTAAAATGAATAAATAGTTCTCAGAAACCTTGCAATTAGTTGTAAAACCTTTTTTTTTACAAATGTTTTAAAGCATGGAAATGTTCTCTCCACCTGTTTCCATTGAACCAAAACAGTGACATGGTGCCAGACTTTATGACTAAAGTCAGCTGAAGGGGAGAACAACAGCTAAGGGAGTTAAAGCAGTTTTAAAAAAGACAAGTGGAGAAAAAAGTTGAAGGACTTGAGGCAAAGTCATTTTTAAAAACTAAACTTTTTGACTGAAACTTGTAGTAAGTTTTTAAAAATGTAATGTATATGACAGCTAAGCAGTAATGTTGAATTATAAAACAAAATAAAGGAGCAAAAGTGACATTTGAAGGCTATTTGAACAGAGAGGAAGAGCTTCCGTGTCTCAGATGGATCACAAGGACCCGGATGTTGGCAGACCTCCGTCCATGATCATGTCGTCCGTCATCCCGAACAGGTTGTGCAGGATGCCCCTGAACCGGCCTCTGTCCAGGCCGGCTGATGCCCTCCCGGGGCTGGGCTGCTCCCCCACCAGCTCGTTGTACTCCCAGATGAGGCACTCCGTCTCTTTTTTGTCGACTAGGAATCAGAAAACATTCCTCACAATTCGCCTCTTGCAACGTTTTTGGGAGCAGCTCAGTTTTGAGTCGACAGACTCGGTAAATGCGGGCGGTTGTTGTTTTTTTTTTTTTTTTCTCGCCCTGCGTACTCACAGTGCTCCACCTTTTTGGAGATAGCTTCGGCGAGGGCCTGGATCACCTTTCTATTCATAGCAGACATTTTCAGGACTCGTTTTAGAGACGCGACGCCGCTGAATGCTGATGTTGACGGTGCGTCGCCATGGTAACAACAAAGCCGTACAGCAGTGTTCACTTAACGGGCAAACCAGGCACGGCGGCCTAGATATTCCCAAAGTAAAAAGGTTTGCTTAAAACCCAGTTAGAAAACATTATCTATTCAGAAAGACTTGAATAGAGCCCTGTTCGCAGCCCAAAGGAGGTTTGACGTTGCCATCTGCTGGAGCACAACTACAGCCTTATTACACTCCATTTCCATTTCAACTGGGACGATTCTCTCACTTTGATAAAAGTAAAAACTAAATAAATCTCAGAACTGTGTCCTGCTGGTCCAAGAATCCCAGCATGTACAAGTTATGACCACTGGGTGATCAGAAAAAACAACCAATACACTTACTAATTTAATAAATACAATTACATGAATGATAAGAAAGATAAAACAGAACACATCAGACTCATCTGTTCCGTTTTATATTTAATTGATAGACTGCGATTGATTTTAAGTGCCCTTTTGTTAGATGCAACACAAATTAATTAAAACATTTCACTCACAACTTAGCCTACTTCTAAATGAGATATTTGACAAATTTGCCCTAAAGAGGAAATATTGTACCAGTATTTGTTCCTCTTTTTATGGATAAAAGATAAATAAATGCTTGATGCATGTGTTCATCATGTTGACATAGCGGGTAAATACACTGATGTGAGGAGGGCCTCCCTCCGGTCCGTAACAGGAACACGTATGTGGATAACTGTGGGCAGGTCACACAGGCCGCTGTGTCAGGTTAGTTCTGATTGGCAGTCTAGTGTCTATCCAGTGGTTCGGGTTTTGGATCATGGAGGTCCACACAGCCACTTCCTCTCCCGTGGAGTCCATCCAGCTGACATCCTCGCCATAGCTCTGACCTGCCGTAAAAAACAACCCACACGACTGGTCGTTATTCCCGCCGGTTCTCCACCAGTGGCTTAACTTTGAACGTCAACCACAATAAAACTAGAAAACAGTTAATAATGTGGTGAAATATCTCAAGAGTCTGATGCGGAAACTTTCAGCTGTGCACACTTTGCACATAAAAGTTCATCGCAAACAGCATCTTCAGTTTGTTTTTCAGAGGCAGAAAACAACCCCACATTAACACCGAGACACTGAATGACTGTTTCAGTGACCTCGCTCTGGTGACAAGACCGTCCGAAATGTCTGAAATGCCACGAGCACAAAACGATCCTGGACTAAAACACAGTCAACATACAACACCTGAACACCCATGTAGAGGAGGCATTCCACTTTGGTGATGACAGTGTCAACAAAGACGATCAAAATGAAGCTCAAACTGGTAACTGGTGCTTTCATATCCCATAGAAAGTGCTTCCCTCTGGCGAACATAAAGACTACTTTCACACAGCACCTTTGTGGATCATCACCTTAGCAAGTAAAGGCATCATATTGGATTTCCATACATGTTCTGACTCAGAGGGAACAAAGACATGCACCTGCTAAAATATTAAACTCTCTCAGCAGATCAAACTGGCTGGTAAGACGACAGGAGTACATTACATTTTCAATCACTGGTGGCTCTCACAGCTTTGGTTTGCTGCCCTCTTCATGCCCACAACACACAGAAAACCCCCAGAAACTGACCAATCTTGTCACTTGTCGTTGTTACAGATTTATAACAAAGTGAGCTCACTATTGAACACAGATCGATGGCAATGCATCCTTGAATGATATCTAATATGTTAAATGTGAAGCCTTTGTCTTTATCTTCTGGCATTACAGGCTCTGTAACTTTCATCTTAGAAAGAAAAAGCAGAAGATTCCCAAAACACAGATTCCCACTTGAAAATACTGTGTAACAGAAAGTGAGGACTTACTTGATTTGGGCATTTTACATATTGATACCAATTGGAATTGACAGCAAAATTGCACAGAAGCAAAGATTGATATGTACAGTAGCTATCGATATGCTTGTTGGGGACTCTCACCAGTTCCAGAGCTCAGGCGAATCCCTCCCAGGATGCGCACCTTCAGGCCCTCCCGCTGCCACACGGTCAGCTCGGCACACGCCTCCTTCAGGTCGCTGGTGTGGAAGCCGTCGTAGACCATCGTGTGGTTGTAGGTGGGGCTGATGGAGTGTTTGACCACACGCGTCTTCTGACCACTCTGCCGACTCGCATCTGGAAGGATGTAGCTGGACGGGGAGTGGAGGACGACATCGATGAGTCATTTCAACAGCACAAAACCTTGGTTCAATTCAATTAATTTAAAATTTTATTTATATAGAGCCACATCACAACAGTTGTCTCACAGCGCTTTCCAAACAGAGCAGGTCAGACCCTACTCTAAAGTAATTACAGAAACCCAACAATTTCAAATTTATCAGACCTAAGATGTGATAACCAACTATGAGGGACTGTTCAAAATGACTTATTTTGACTGTGGATCATAAATTAAAAAAAGGATTTCCCCAAAATACAGCTGTATTTTTATGGATCAAAATCATAGGAGTTATTCTGCCTTCAAAACCTCCCATGAAATCTTAATCTTTATACAAAAATGTTGGATGAGAAACTGTTCTTTTGCTGTCTTATGCACCTGAAAATACTGCTGAGACAAGTGGGCACACATTAAAATGGTTAAATAACCATCATCTAAACCATAAAGACAAGTTGCTTAACGTGTCACCGACTGATTCTGCATGATTCTCAACTAATTAGGAAAAATTAGGTGAATGTTCACAAAGCCTTGCGAGGCATGTTCTGACACGCACCTTCTCACAAAGGAGTCTACGGCCCCTCCTTTGTTGGAAAGGAGACCCTGAGCCTCCCGGAGCCAGATGTGAACCTCTCCTGTCAGCGGCATCCCGCCGCCTGCACACACATCAGTCCACATTTACAAAAAATGAGAACCTGAGGAGAAGAACTCAGATGTCCCTCTTCTGCTTACCCTCAAATCCTTCTGGAATGAATTTAATGGAGAGCATGATGTTTCCTCGACTGCTTATTGAGTCTGGACTCACACAGACCTGTGCAAACAATGAAAAGATTAAGCCGGGAAAAAAAGACAAAGAAAGAGAAGGTGAAGAGGTATATGTGTGGAAGCTGGGAGAGAGCAGAGTTACATAAACCCTTTTTTAAAATTCACATCATGTCTTTCTTTCCCCTCGTCTCTGCCAGACACAAGACACACTCTGACTTCAATCTGTGTCTCCAACAAACCAGCCAAAGCTTCTGTTAGATGGACGCTTAGAGGCTACAGAAACTGGTTTCCTCATTATTTCTGTGGGAGTGTTAGACCCTAGATGTTGGTGTGTGAGACTGGTTCAGGATTCCTGAGCAGGACCCTGATGGTTCCCCACCCGTGGCTGGAGGTCCTGCCACAGAGGCTGCGTGCAGGTCCAGTCCCAGAGCTCCAGGGCCACCTCCACCTCCCCCAGGAACACGTTCCTGCCCAGGGGCTCCGCGTGCCACACCGAGAGGTTCAGCGTCCGGCTGCGCAGCTCCCCGGACCGGACCTTATACTGAAAGAGCACAGTCCGGATCAATCAATCAATCAATCAAGTTTATTTGTATAGCCCTTTACAATACCCAAATGGTACTCAAAGTGCTTTACAACAAAGCCATAAAACAATACAAAAAACATACAGAAACAACTAAAAATGCTGTAGTGGTGCATTAAAAGCCTTCCAGAAGTGCGTAGAAAGGAGCAGACAGAAGGAGGAAACCTAAGAGACCCTAGTCCGAATTAAATGCTCGTTTAAAAAAGTGGGTCTTAAGCTTTTTTTTTTAAAGGCTGAGGTCAGTAGCGGTGCAGATGTTTGTTCCACAGTCTGGGAGCAGCGACGGCAAAAGAACGATGGGCCGGGACGGGAATAACGACACACACCGGACGTGACATTTAGCAAACGGAGCAGGTTTTCTGCTGACCGGTAGCAGAGACGAGGGCGGCTTTACGTAACGGGGAAAGGAGAGCAATCTTACTCTGAGCGTCTGGTCATAGACGGGGTTCAGCGTCTTCTTCCTCACGGATGTTTTCTTCTTACTGTGATTCGACTTGTCTGGCAGCAGGTAGGTTTTTACATACCTGGGAAGGACGCACACAACAGGGTTTATCATTTGTTTTGCATCATTTCGGGGGTGGGGGGGGCGGTCACTTACGGGTCAGAGCGGTTTTTCCGTGCGGAAGCGATGTCCTCACAGCGGTACACGTTCACCCGCAGCTCCTCCTTAGGAGCGTCGTAAACCAATGAGTACTGGATACGGCCCCTCACCTCCACCACTCCGAAATCCCCCGAGCTGAACAGACTCATCATGCTGCCGCTGAGCTGTAACACGCACACACACACACACACACACACACACACAGACACACACACACACACACACACACACACACACACGGGCAGAACAGGGATCAGAGCCTGCGTCACCGTTCAGAGCTGAGTCATCCACTGCCGATGGATGGTCAATTAAACAAACGTGTGTGAGTGAGTGAGTGAGTGAGTGAGTGAGTGAGTGAGTGAGTGAGTGAATGAGTCAGTGTGTGTGTGAGTGAGTGAGTGAGTGAGTGAGTGAGTGAGTGAATGAGTGAGGTAGTGAGTCAGTGAGTGAGTGAGTGAGTGTGTGAGTGAGTGAGTGAGTGAATGAGTCAGTGTGTGAGTGAGTGAGTGAGTGAGTGAATCAGTGAGTGAGTGAGCGAGTGAGTGAGTGAGTGAGTCAGTGAGCGAGTGTGTGTGTGTGTGTGTGTGTGTGTGTGTGTGTGTGTGTGTGTGTGTGTGTGTACCGTGTAGCTGGAGTGAAGGCTGCTAGTGGAGCTGCTGGTTTTCAGAGAGGCTGGATCCGTCTCTGTGTGACTGCTGCTCAGAGAGTCAGAGTCCCCGTTGTGAAAGACAGTCAGACTCTCCTAAACACACCCACACACACACACACACACACACCCACACACACACACACACACACACACACACACACACACACAGACACAAGGGTGTTTTAACTGCTACCCGACACATAATCAGGTCTAATCGTCAGATACTCTCCGTTATAATGATAAAATAGGAAACCTACTATTGACATTCCACTAATCAAAAAGGGAATTATTAAGGCTTGAAGCTCTGAC